TATGTTCAGAATCTCAGAATGGAAGAAATTGGACATTTAACACTGCTCTATTAATATTTTTCCCATCTCATCAATTTTCTTAGATGATCATATAAAAACGGTAGTAAACTGTTAATTTTGTTTTATGTTAGAAATTGTTAAAACTGGAAAAAAAAAAAAAAAAAAACATTTCAGAACATTGCTGTCTTGTTTACATTTTGGCATTTTCAAGTTGTGACTTTGGAGTTCCATGGGCCTGAAGACCTTTGCTAGTCACATTTTCTGAATATCCATAATACTAACATTTTATTATTAAAATTGATGGTCATTATGCTGTTAAACATTATGTAATATTGCATCAAAATTTGAAAAAAAAAAAACTATTTTGGGCACTGCTTCCATGATGACCATTTAAGAAAAACCATGTCACTTACTGTTCTCAAACTTACAGGAAAGAAACATGGGACTTAAATACAGCTTCAGTAGGCAATGCAGTCTGTTTGGTAATTCTTACTGCCAGTTAAATGGTTTTTTTGGTAAAAATTTATTTTTTTCACATATTGGCATTTGCAAGGTGTGACTTTGAAGTTCCACGGGCTTGAAGACCCATGCTAGTCATATTTTCTCAAAATCCATGATACGTATATTTTATTATTAAAAATTGACGGTCATTATGCTGTTAACCATTATGTAATATGACATCAGAATAGAAGAAAACACAATTTTGGGTGCTGCTGCCATGATGACCATTATGGGCAAACCATGTTACTTATGATTGCCAAACTTTCAAAGAAGAAATACAGGACTAAAATGCAGCCCGAGTTGGAAAAGCAGTCTAATTGGCTTCTTTTTCTGGAAGTTATACATTTTCAAAGTGTGAATTTGTTACACATTTTACTTACATTGGTATTACCTGTTGAGCATAATTAAAATTTGATGTTGAATTTGCAGTTTAACATAATGTACTTTTGCATCAGAATTGACAGTAGCCTATTTTGTGCATAGTTATTTCCTGTTTTTTGTCTGTACATTTAACAGCATTGCTGCCTTGTTCTTTTTTTGTTAATATTCAACACCGATAACAAAATAAGTAGAAACCTGTTTTACTTTTTGGCTTGAAACTTACAGAACTGCTGAATATTCATAATACGCAGGACAAGTTTGAAAATCGGGCATGATTGGACCATTTTTTTTTCAAAAGCTATGCTGTTTTTTTCTTTCTTCAGCATATATGCAACAGTGATAACACATTTCAAGGAAAACTGATGAGCCTATTGTTTTGCAACTCACTGTCATATTTTTCACTTATTGGGATTTTCATCATGTGAATTTGAACTCTCATGGTCCTGAAACCGTAATCTTACCGACCATCTTACCTAATTTAGTGTTGATTGACTGTGCTGTCATAAACATTACTTATTATTACATCAAAATTGACAAAGTGACCTATATTCTGCATCTTTATTTTCTGCTATTTGTCTGT